AGATAAACTACAGAAACTGCACAAATACATGGAGCTTGAACAAAGTGTTCTTCAGTAATTCTTGAACGTTTGCTGAAGAAATCAGGGAGGAAATGTAAACATTCCTAAAGTCCAATGAAAATGAAAGTGCAGCTTATCAGAGCTAACTAAAAGTACAGCTGGGGCCGATCTAAGAGGAGAGATTATAACCCTGCGTGCTTACACACAAAAATCAGAGCGAGTAAATAACCCAATGATGCAAAGCCTTAGGAAAACAAGAACAAGCCAAACCGAAAAACGGTAGGTAAGACATAATAAAGATCAGGGCAGAAATTAATGAAACGGAGACTCAAAGAACAATACATAGAATCAATCAAAGAGTTGGGTCTCTGGAAAAAATAGACAAGATTGACAAACCCTTAGCCAAACTGACTAAGAGAGGATCCGAAATTTGAAAATTAAAGATGAAAAACTCGAGATTACTACAGATTATAATGATTTCCAAATATTTATTAGGGAATACTTTGAAAAATTATATTCCATAAATCTGGAAAATCAAGAAGAAACAGATAAAGTCTTAGACACATATGATCTAGTAAATTCAATTCAAGAAAATATAAACAATTTAAATAGGTAAAATAACAATCAAAGATCCAAGCAGTACTAAAAAGTCATCCATCAAAGACAAGTCCAGAACTGGATGGATTTCCTGCCAAATTATATCAGATATTTAAAGAACTGAAGCTAATGCCCCTCAAACTGTTCCATAAAATGGAAATAGAAGGCACCCTACCAAACTCATCCTACAAAGCCAGCATTATCCGAATACCAGAACTGGATAAAGATAACTAAAGGGGGGAAATTATAGACCAATTTCCCTGATGAACACAGACACAGAAATTCTCAATAAAATTCTTGCAAACCTAATTTAAAAGCACATTAAGAAGATATCTATGATCAAATTGATTTCATTCCAGGAATGGCTTTATTCAAAAATTGCAAATCAGTATATAAATATGGCACACAAACTTAAGGACAGAAATCACACAATCACCTTAATATATGCAGAAAAGACCTTTGAAAAAATTTAATGAATGATAGAAAGCCTTGAGGAAACTAGGACTAGAAGGAACATACATCAACACACTAAAAGCTGTATATGACAAGTCTATAGCCAACATTATACTGAATAGGAAAGAATGGAAGGCTTTGCTCTAACTCTAAAATGAGACAAGGTGTTCACGCTCCCCACTCATTCAATGTAATGCTTGAAGTCTTAGCTAGAGAAATAAGACAAAAATGAAATAAATGAAATACAAATAGGAAAGAAGTCAAATTATCCCTATTTGCAGATGACATTATCTTATACTTAAAAGACCCTATAGGCCCCTTAGACTTTATTCACATTTTCAGCAAAATAGCAGGACACAAAAACAACATACAAATATCAGTAGATTTTCTGCATACCAATAACAAACTTGCTGAGAAATAAATAAGAAAAAAGAAAGATTCATTCACATTTGCTTTGAAAAATCATAAAATATTTAGGAATAAACCGACGAAGGAAGTGAAGGGCCTCTACAATCAAAAAATTTTTAAGACGCTAGAAGATGGAAAGACCACCCATGCTCAGGAATTGGCAGAAACAATATCATGAAAATGGCTATACTACTGGAAACAATGTGTAGATTCAATGTAATGTCCATCAAAATCCTAATGGCATTGTTCACAGAAATAGGAAAAATGTGCTAAAATTCATAGGAAAGTACAACAAACCCCAAATAGTCAAAGCAATCCCAAGCAGAAAGAACAGTGCAATCTCAAATTACACTATGGAGCCATAGTACCAAACAGCATGGTATGACACAAAAACAGACATGCAGACCATCAGAGTGGAACAGAGGACCCAGGAACAAACCTGTGCTGCTACACCCATGGGATTTTTTTTACAAAGGTGTCAGAAACATGTGTTGGAGGAAGAACATTATCTTTACCAAATGGTGTCAGGAAAACTGGATTTCCATACGTAGAAGAATGAATTCATATCTGTCTCCCTACACAAAAGTAAATTCAAAAAAAAATCAAAGATTTTAAGACTTGAAACTTTATAGGAGCTAGGAATTGGCTAGGCAGTTAGGGTAAAGAGACCCCAAAGAAAAGTAGCCAGTTTCTTGGCTAAAAGTCAAAATGTCCTTGGGCCTCTTAGCAACAGATTCTGTTCCAAAGGCCAAAAATGTTGAAAGTATTTAGGAGTGTCTATCTAACCCTTAAAAGATGCGGGGGGGGGTGGAGATGTTAGAGTAGCCAAAAAGCCCCCCAAAATTAAGTAAATCAAAGAAAAAAAAAGACCTGAAACTTTGAAACTTTGAAACGATTAGGGGGAAACACAGATAAAACACTTCAAGATACAAACACAGGCAAAGGCTTCCTGAAAAAGACCCCAATAATGAAAGAAATAATTCCAAGAATTGAAAAATGGGATTACGTGAAATCAAAAATCTTTTTAGAAGATTTAAAAGAAAAAATTTATGTATTTTAATTTTATATGCAAAAATGTTTTGCCTGCATGTAAGTGCACCGCATGCATGCAGTGCCTGTCAAGACCAAAAGTGTCGGGTCACCTGAATGGAACTGGAGTTAAGGACAGTTGGGAGCTGCCATGTGGGTGCTGGGAATTGAACCCTGGTCTGTAAGAGCAAGTACTCTTAACCACCGAGCCATCTCTCCAGCCCCCGAAACTAAGAATGTTATGCACAGCTAAGGAAACAATCAGCAAAATGAAGAGACAACCACAGAATGGGGGAAAAAGCCTTTGCCAATGACACACAAGATAGGGGAATAATATCTAGAATATATAAAAAATGTAAAATTTAAACACCCCAAACCAGGTCATCCAATAAATGGGTTAAATAACTGAGAAAATAGCTCTCAAAAGAAAAAATACACGGAGGGGGGGGGTGCATGCCTTTAATTCCAGCACTCAGGAGGCAGCACTTGGAGGTCAGCCTGGTCTATATAGCAAGTTCCAGGCCAGCTGGGGGGGGCGGTGGGCTATGGGGAGACCTGTCTTTAAAAAAAAGAGAGATGAAGGACGTGGAGGTAGAGGAGGAGGAAGAGAAGGAGGGAGAGGAGGGGGAGAGGAAAGAGGAGAAGGAGGAATACAAGTGGCTGATGAATATTTGAGTACGTATTTAATACCCCCAGCCATCAGGGAAATGCAAATTTAAACTCTATCTCACCTCTCAGAATAGCCATCATCAAGAAAACAAATGCTATGAAGGATTGGGGGGTGTCCTTCTCACTGCTGGTGGGAATGTATATCCTACATCCATAATGGATATCAGTATGGAGGCTTCTTGGTTTCTCAAATAACTAAAAATACTCACCATATGATCCAGCTATTCCACCTCTGGGTATATGCTGGAAGGACTCTATGTCAGCATAATACAGAGATTCTGACACATCTGTCATTGCTGCACTATTCACAATACCCAAGAAATGGAACCAGCCTATCTGTCCATCATCAGATGAATGAAGAAAATGTAGAATATATATATATATGTATGTATGTATATATTATATAATGGAATTTTACATAGCTATAAAGAAAAGTGAAATCAGGACATCTTCAGGAAAATAGAAGTGGAAACCATGTTAAATGAAATAAGCCAAATTCAGAAAGGCAAATACTACATCTTTTCTCTCATATTTGAAACCTAGATTCAAAATTGTGTTTGTGTATGTGTGTGCATGTGTGTGTGTGTGTGCGCGCGCACACGCGCGCGCGTGTGCATGCACATATGTGGACCTGGTGGTGAAGGCCTCCTCTACTTCGAGGCTGAGGCAGTAGGATTACACCAAGTTCAAGTTCAAGGACAGCTTAGGCAATTTAACGAGACCCTGTCTCAAAATTTATACATATGTATGTATGTATGTACATATATATATACATATATGTGTGTGTGCTCTTGACCCTAGAAAGTAAATAATGAGACAGAGAAGGGTTCTTAAGGGAAAGCAGAGAACAGTGAGAAGGGGGGCTATTTGGGATGGGCAAAGGGAACCATCTGGGGGCACGAGGGAGGCCAGTAGGAAGGGGATGAACGAGCGTAAGGACACATATGTATGAAACACCACCATGAAACCCATACTTCATGTGCAAACTTTAAAATCCTAATGCCAGTGACAAATTTAACTCTTCCCAAATCTTTACTATGGGCTATGTGGTAACTGCTTCATTTCATTTATATTAAACAGCCATGTACTGCATGGTAGAATGATCACCTCTGAAGAAACAGGGGCCCAGAGAGCTTGGGTTCCCCCAGCTTACAGGTAGCCAGGCCTGACTATGATCTGAACTCTGCTAAGAGCCAAGCCAAGAAAGCAAAGTCCCTACCTCGGAGGGAAGTGCAGGCCTGATGTTTCTCTGGAAAGCTATATCCCTGAAGGGTAATATCTTTGTTTCTAACCTTGGCCTTGGAAGCCTGGTTTTTGTTCTAGCATGATGCGTGTTAAGGATAAACTCAGCTACAGGGAGGAGACCAGAAGAGACAAAGCCTAGGGTGCTAGGAGATGGCTCCACGCTGAGCCCAGACAGGATGGAGTCTGGACTTGGTGGTAGGGCAGGAGGCCTTGAGCCAGTGAGGAGAGATGACTGAGGGGCAGAGAAGACATGAGGAGGCTGTGAGACCTCTGTCTAAGAGGAGGGGCAAAGAAGGATTGCCCAACCCACCTTGGCAAGAAGGCAACAGACAGGCTTGGGCACTGGCCCCAGCTCCTGCCCTGTGCCAGCTGTGATTGGGCAGGTTACCTAGCAGGTGAGTAGTTTATGTGCCTCCTGCACCCTCTACTGGCCCTAGGTGAGAACTGGACAAGACAGCATAGGAAAAGCACTGATGGGCACCTGGTCATGACACTTCATAAATGGTAACCCTGACTGTCCCAGTTCTTCCTCCAGTCTCACACCACCACACATTTGAATAGGGACTGATGCTGACCCAGCGGGCTGTTGTGGGGCTTACTTTGAGGCCTTCCTGCTGATAACTTTGGGAGATGCAATCCAGAACTCCTTTGTATTTGTTTAAATAGACGCCATCAGCTTGGAGTCGACTTTTCACGACATCCATTGGAGTTGCGGTCCCCCAGGAGATTGCCCCTGCAAAGACAGAAGAATGAAAGGTGTCAGAGCTGGCTGTCTGGGGGGCTGCAGGGCCTAGTCCTTGAGGATGCTGCTGCTCAGAAACCCATAACTGAGGGGGGAAGTGGGCAGTGAACAGGACTTCTGGGCCTCCCTTAGCAGGGGAGCCTTGGGCCCCTCGTAGATGAATTGGGGCAGCAGTGCTGTACCCATGATGTTGCTGTAAGGAGGCAGTGAACTGATGTCTGTGAAGCCTGGATCATAAAACCAGGCCACAGCAGTGCTCCACATGTGACATTTATTGTCGGGACAGTAACTGCCCACAGTGCTCTGCAGTTCTTCTCCCAGGGCAGGCAGAGAGCCCAGGGTGGAGCGCATGTCCAAAGGCTTGCAGCCAGCTACCTGTAGGCAAATTTGCTTTGCACACAGAGAAGCTAAACAAACTCCTTCCCACAGACAGCTCACCAAGAAGGGCAGCCTATGGGCTGTAAGAAAAGGGCAGGCACAGTACTTTTCTGTGTAAAAAGTTCTAAATACATGACATAAAACTTAGGGACCACATACTGCTGGGTCATCCTCACTGGACAAGCTCGGCTGCTCTAATTTATGCATTTTTGTGACTTTAAAGGACTAGGAAAATAGTGCTGGGTTATTTATTGTACAAACACAGAAATTGGTACATTCTTGGATGAGGAGAGAAAACAAACCAATGTCAAAGTCCAGGTCAGTTTGCTTGCTAGGTTTTCAAACTGCTGCCCCAGAAACCTCAGCATACCTGGGGCCTCTGCCCATGCAGGCCTCCAGTACCACCCCTCCCCACTACTAGCTCCTGCCACGGCCTCTGGAAGCCTGTCTGGATGTTCATTCTCCTGCATTTGCAATGGCCCTTGGTTGCTTCCTTATGTCAAAGCAAGGGTATTGTGAAACGAGGCACCTGCTCTCCACACAAATAAGAGCAGATGGGAACTCACAGGGCTCTTGCTGGGAGGCCAGGGATGGACCCCAGACACACGGAATGCTATTGTTGAGTGACCAGGACATGGGCTTTGTTTGTTTGCTATGAGTTTAATACGCAGATAGGGGGCTGGAGAGATGGCTCAGAAGTTAAGGTTATGTGTGTATGGGTTCCCAGCACCCATATAGCCACTAACAACTCCGGAACTCCAGTTCTAGGGGATACAATGCCCTCTTCTGGACTCTGTGGGCATTACATACATGTGGTACACTTACATACACACAGTAAAACACTCATACACATAAAACTTTAAAACAGTTCTGAGACAGAAGAGGAGAAAGAGGAGAGGAGGAGGAGAAACAGGAGGAGGAGGCAGAGGAAGGGAGGATTTCTCTCTCCGGATCTTCCCTTCATCAAACACACCATGTTGCCGTCTCCTTAAAAAGCGGTTCTCTCTTGATGTGCATATCCCCTCTAGCTTTAACTTCATTTCTCCATTCCCCGCCCCAGCACGGCACAATTCCACAGAGGTGCTGCATGTGCTTAGGCTCTCCAGTTTCTTCCATTCCATCCTCTCTTGATCCCACTTCCACTTCTAACACCTTTCTTTCCAACAAAAGGCTCCTACCTAAGAATGCAATAGCCTCTATGTTGTTAAATCCAGACCATGTGGATTGGAAGTACATAGACCCTGTGGCTAAGTGGGAAGCTGGGCAAGGTCAAGTTACAGCAGAACTTAGTGTGGCTAATGCAGGGCAGGAGGGGGAGGGGATGCAGAGGAGCAGAGATTGATGCCTGTAGGGGTAACAGGGAGTGGCATCAAAGTGGACGTGGAAAACTACTGGGAGCTTGTCAACTTTCCCCCTAAATGAATTGGGGATGTGTGTAAGGTGAGAAGGTAAGTTACAGTGACAGAATGAGTAAGTCTGGCTAAACTTGAATCTTTCTGACTACAGAGCCCCTGCTATCCCGCTTCACCACCTTGAGTATCTCTGAACCTGAGATTGGCTCCCACTTTGTATACCTAACAAAGACCAACATTCAGTAAAGGTGAACCGTGATAACAGATTTTCTTCCAAAGGCTCAGGAATGCCTGACACGGGGAAGAAGCAAAGAGTATATTGTCCTGCAGGTGTGGCTGGGAAGGTCGTGGTAGGCTCCTCTGTGCCCTGTCACCACAGTGGCAGGCATGGAACCAGGGATGGGGCTCCTGCTGCTGTGGCCCTTACCTGCCATGCCGCCTGCCAGCCACACAGCGTAGGGGCTGGGGCTGGCGCAGGTCTCAGGGGTGATCCATTCACACAGGAACACGTATGGAATAAAGTAGAGGCAATAGCCTGGGATGTCCCTCAGCAGCATGGCATTGGCTCCCCGGTACAGTCCAGCCAGGCCCTCAGTCCGCACGATGGTTGCAATGCAGTGCACCGGCCCCTGGTATGCTGCTTGCTCCCCAGGGGCCACTGCCCTGGACTTCAAACCATGGCTGGCTGCAAAGATAGGAGGGAGAAGGTGACAAATGACCCAGGCAGGTAAGAGACTGACTAGCTCCTGGCACCAGAGCGAGTCCAGTCTGTTGACAACTTCTACTCAAGTGGTCTATTGATTTTTACCAAGCTATCTGTTCCCCTTGGTAGCTCCCATCAGGATTCTGAAGTCCCAACGAGGAGGCCTTGGCAACCTGTCCACCAGATTGGAGACAAGCCAGCCAAATTGCCCTAAGATCCTAGAGCTTTCTGGTCAACCATCACTATCTATTTCTAGGTAGTTGTGACTGCAACATGCCTGAGATCATTTGTGACAACCACATCAAGCTCTTTCTTGAAGCAAAGGTTAGGGAATTATTCCAGAGATGGAATGTCATCCCACAACCAATGAGAAGACAGACACTGCTTAGTGCTGTGGTATGACTCTCCTATGTTCCCCCAAGGCCAGTGTGTTGAAGGGCTCTTCTATAGCCCTCTCTCTCTCTCTCTCTCTCTCTCTCTCTCTCTCTCTCTTCCTCTCTTCCACATCCAGTGTCTAAAAATAAATATGACTTGAAGTCCGACTGTCCTGGATGCACCACTAACAAACATTTTCACTTTGTCAGGTCAGCATTTCTTCTATTTTCTAACCCTTAAAAGACGGGCATGAGTACCATCGGGTAAGGTGTGGAGAGCTCACTGTGGTGACTGGAATATTGTTGAAGCTCAGTAAGTTGTTAAGAGGTGATGGTCATGAAGAGGACCCATTGGCTTGCTGCAGGGCTGTGCATTTACTGACTCCTGCCAATCTGGCCTGGCCATGTCCTAAAACAGCTGTAAGGGAGCATCTAAACCCACAGCTCCTCAAAGTCCAGGGGCCAGGGCTCTGTATCCTTTCCGGCAGGGTTTGTGCTGGCTGGTCATGGTTTGCTATGTCTGCAGCTTGCTCTGGGGGTTCACATAGCAGCAGAGCCTTGATCTCCCATTTGGTCCCCACACAGGCCACCTACGTCTCTCTCCATGCTCATCATCTCCACTAAATCATTAGCATGGTTTGGGCTTATAGCCAGAAAGACTCCAGAACCTTCCAGTCCCAATGCAGATAAAGTGACTCTCAATGTTCCTTTCAAGGAACTAACATGGCATGGCCAGGCAACAGAGAAGGTAGTTCACTGGTAACCACATCCCTATTTGAGCCACCTGTGTTGAATTCCATGAACCTGATGTCCAGTTTGGGCTCATATATGCTGTAAACAGGCAGTGGCTTTTCATCCTCGGATTGCACTCCCAGGTCCCCAAACAATTCAGTCTCATGACTCCACAGTTCAAACTGGAGACTGGAGTCAAGGACAGCGTGTAACTCATCCTAGACGTCCACCAGAACAAGAGGCAGGTTCATGTACCTGATAAGCAGCTGAGCAGACTCCCTGCATTTCCATGCGTGGGCGAGGGGAGTGGATCCCTGACATCTACTGCAGGCCACACAGCAAGAACAGTGGACTGAGCCCTGCCCACTGCCTACATGGTGCATCCTATAGGAGGTTAGCATGGATAAAGGGCACTTTAGGGGACACAAAGCTCTTCTAAGCAACAGCAGATACCATGACCCTTGGGGGCTCCCAAGAGGTCATTACACACCCTTTCTTCTCCCAAACCCATGATGATATTGCCTTGATTATCCTGGGAAATTTGCCTTAGACAGAATTGATACTGACCAGCTATAAACTTTGGTCAGGCTCTTCCTCTCTAGGTAACACCAACCTGACCAGGAAGGAGTGAAGGTTTTCCTAAATCACTTATGTATGATGTGGCTTTCAGGAGTTTCTGAATGAAAGGTAGCATCCAGATGATGATCTACTAGTTTGGAGATGCAAATATTGAAAGAATACTTGCCAAGCTGCCCACTAGCCTTGACAACAAAACTCTGTATTTTTTTCCTCTTCTTTCCCAGGTCAATATTGAGGAAATTCTCTCACATTCTTCCAAGTTTGTAGCATAAGCCGTCTAGCTGTTACTGCTTTTGAATTACCCATTTGTGGCTCTTAAAGCAATGTAATTGCAGTAGAGATGTCAACAGGATGCTGTTACAGCTTATCAGTTTTCCATCACTAGAACAAAATAACTGAGGTAATTATCTTCTGAAGAGAAAAGGTTTGTTTTGGCTCACGGTTTGGAAAGTTCTTTTCCATGTTTTTAGCTCCACTGTTTGGGGCCTGTAGCAAGGCAGTGCATCAGGGTTAGAGTGCATGGTAGAGCAAACCAGCGCACCTCATCCAGCAAAAGAGAACGAAGAAGGGGCTGGGCCCCCCAATGGCCCAAGTACTCCCATTAGGTCCCACTTCTTCCCAGTAGCTCCAGTCTGAAGACCAGCCTGTTAACACAAGCACCTTTGAGGGACCCTTACCCAAATCACAGCAGCTGGGAAGCCCTTGGAATTTCTTCCTGTTCCTGCTTCCTGCTCACCCAGGTGTGTGGCTTCAGCATTCCTGACTGAAGGACAGTGTCCTACAGAATGCTCCTCAGTTGAAGGTGCAGGCATTGGGAAACCACATGGTAACTGAAGCTACTTTGTCAACAAGAGCCAGAGACAAATTAAAGTTGTCCTTTTCCCCCTTTGCTTCACAACATAAGCAGTAACGGAATCTTTATCACACAAACATATTTTTCACATACACACACACAACTTTATATTTTTATTTTTCAATTTTTAAA